ACCTCAATTTCTCAACCAACTCATCTTTGACAAAGCCTTCACCACCAACCACTGGGGAGAAGAAAGCCTGTTCAGTAAACACTGCTGGGAAAACTGATTGACCACATTCAGAAGAATATAACAAGATCCCTACCTATCACCATACACAAAAATCAACTCTAAATGGATGAAATACCTAAACGTTAAACCTCAAACTGTAAGAACCTTAGAAAATGCAGGAGACACCCTTAGAGAAATTGGAACTGGCAACGAATTCCTGATCAAAACTCGAAGTGCCCATGCCATAAGAGATAATATAGACAAGCGAAACCTCATCAAACTGACGAGGTTCTGCAAAGCCAAGGAAACCACTGAGAGAGCAGTGAGACAGACTACAGACTGGGAAAAAGTATTTGCCTTGTAGATCCTAACATCTAGGATCTACAAGGAACGCAAATGTGCCAAAAAGAAAAAAATAAACAGCCCCATTACTAAGTCGGCAAAAGATATGAATAGGCACTTCTCAAAAGAAGACATACAGACAGTCAACAGATACATGAAAAAAAAAAAAACGCTCAGCCTCACTAGTCATCAAAGAAATGCAAATTAAAACTACACTGAGATACCACCTAACTCCAGTCAGGATGGCCATCATCAATAACTCAAAAAGCAACAGATGCTGGAGAGGATGCAGCAAAAAGGATGCAGCTTCTGTGGAAAACAGTGTGGCGATTCCTAAAAGATCTAAAAATCGACCCTCCGTACAACCCCGCAATCCCCCTACTGAGAATATACCTGGAGGAACTCAAATCACTCTACGTAAAAGATACCTGCACACATATGTTTATTGCAGCGTTGTTCACAATAGCAAAAACATGGAATCCCCTATGCCTCCCATTCAAAGAGGACTGGATTAAAAAAAATGTGGTACATATACACGATGGAATATTATGCACCCATAAAAGACAAAATCATGAACTTCACAACAACCTGGATGGACTTAGAGTATGTAATACTGAGTGATCTATCACAGAAGCAAAGAACTGAGTATCACATGTCCTCACTTATAAGCGGACCTTGAACAATTATCATGAATACTATAAGAAAAGTATTGGCAGTAGCAGGAAACTGTGGGGGAGGGAAGCGAGATTGGCAATAGTAGGAATCTGCTGGGGGAGCGAGGCACACCTCATCAACAAGGGTACCTGCGTAATGAAAATGTGTATACCTAACCCTGAATTGTACCCCACATCTTGGAAATAAATAAATAAATAAGAGAATTCTTTTTATATTTTGGATAATAGTCCTTTATCAGATGTGTCTTTTGCAGATATTTTCTGCCAGTCTTTCATTTTCTTTTATTATCTTGCCATTATCCTTTGTAGAGTAGAAGTTTTCATTGTAGTGACATTTAGCTTATCAACTATTTATTTCATAGATCATGTCTTTGGTGTTGTATCTAAAAAAGTCATCACCATCCCTAAGATCAGCTAGGTTTTTTCCTATGCTATCTTCTAGGAGCTTTGTAGTTTTGCATCTTACATTTAGGTCTGTTTCATTTTGAGTTGATTCTTATGAAGGGTTAAAACCTTTGTCTACATTCATTTTTCTATATGTGGATGTCCATTTCTTCCAGCACTACTTGTTGAAAATATTATCTTTGCTCTATTGCATTGCCTTTGAAATTTTGTCAAAGATCAGTTGACCATATTTATGTGAGTTTATTTCTGGGCTCTCTATTCTGTCCCACTGATCTATTTGTCTATTAGTTTACCAATACTACCAATTGTCCAATGCTTTTCTGCTTCTATTGATATAATCATGTGGTTTTTCTTCTTTAGCCTGTTGATATGATGGATTACATTAATTGCTCTTTAAATGTTAAACCAATCTTGTATTACTGGGATAAATCCCACTTGGTTACAGTGTGTAATTTGTTTTATACATTATTGGATTTGATTTACTAATATTTCATTGAGTATGTTTGCATCTATGTTTATGAGAGATATTGGTCTATAGTTTTCTTCTTATAATGTCTTTGTCAGGTTTTGGTAATTAGCATAATACTGACTTCATACAATGAATACTTTCCTTGGCTTCTAACTTCTGGAAGAGATTGTAGAGAACTGCTATCATTTCACCCTTAAATTACCTCACAATAACAAAATATTCTCTTTTTTTCATAATCAAATATATATATTTTATTTTTGGAGGAAAATAGTTAAAACAGGTTTTTTTCCACAATAAAGGAGATAAATAGTAAGAGATTATACTCTGGTTACATGCTAATTACTACATTCTTATTTAATGTGGATGTACTTAACATGTAATCCGTGGTAATATGAATAATGAACATTTTCAATTTTAAAATTGAAACAAATACTTAGAAATAAGTTTTTTTAAACATAGTCTTTGACTATGTTTATACATCAACCCAAATGTTGCATACAAATAGTATAGCAAATAAATTAATATTCCTGCTAGTTTCCGCTTGATTTCTTCATAATATGACTGTCTGGTGTTGCATTAGTAAAGATACTTCCTATAACCACATGGGTACCCCAGAGACTATGATTAATCCCTTGCAACATCCAAGATCATCGACAGAGAATCCTAAATGTCGGTAGCGCTCATCTGTTTCAAAAAGAGTGTTGTTTGTATGTGGTCCAAAAAATACAAAACCAGATGATGGATCAATAACGTCAGTCCAGTATCCTTTAGCTTGAAGAGCATAGCAAATTTCTTTAGCGCCAATGATGAACTTTTCTAAGAGCATTTCTTTTTCAGTTTCTACATCTTCACGCCAAACAGTCATATCATTCTTAGTTTTTGTGTTACAGTCAGAATCATTAGTTTGCTATTAGCCATTTCTGAAAACAGTGATTGAAAAGCTCTTCGCAGCAATTCTGGACATGTTTGGATTGCACACTCTACTCTGGCACTTTCAAAGTAAGTTTCTGCACTGTTAATTTCTTGTTCAACAGATGCATCATTACCCTGAAATTTATTCACATACTGTGCCATCACAAACTCATGTCTTGCATTTGATAAAGGTTCTGCTAGAACATCAGGCAAAGTGTTATGAGCTAGGCTGTTCTTCTGTGAAGTGGTCCCACTGAGGTGACAATCAAAACCTATGTTCCCAGGAAGCTGGAATCTCTGATCCTGAGGACCAAATGGTTCCATAGTTTCGTCAGGCCACACTGTTCTAGAGCATATATCTGGAGGTGCAGTGGCCACATGAGACTCATCAGAACCTGACGATTCTGCAGTTGAAAAGCCTTTGGGATTAACAACCCTTTTGACTAAAGAGCAAAATCCTGGGAGATAGGAAGCCAGTCTGGCTCTGTTACAAAGCACATTGGCCATCTCTACCGGAGAGGATGGCACAAAATTGTTTTCCTTTTGTAAAGTTATTTCAGTCACCACCACTGCCCCAGCTGTCCCAGAAGAGCAACAAAATATTCTTAACTCCTTCCTTTCCCTTGTTTCATTGCTATCATTCATTTCACTTATACATATACATACATAACATACACACATGCATACATAATCAAATACATTGTCGCTGTTATTATGTTGAACAAACTGTTCTCAGATCAATTAAAAATAAGACAAATGAAAGGTTTTATTTTACCTTCACTTATCCCTTCTCTGATGCTCTTTCTTCTAATATATTGATCTGAGTTTCTGACATATCTTTCTTCTTTTCTCTGAAGAACATCCTTTAACATTTCTTGCAAGGCAGGTATACAGACATAAATTTTCTCAATTTTTGTTTGTCTAAGAAAGTATTTATTTCTCCTTCACTTTTGAAAAGTTATTTGGCAAGGAATTCTAGGTTGGTGGGTCTTTTTTCTCCCAACACTTTAAATATTTTACTTCATTCTGTTCCTGCTTGAATAGATTCTGAGGAAAAGTCATTATCTTTGCTCCTCTCTATATAAAGTGGTTCCTCTCACTTCTTTCAAGATTTTTTATTAATCTTTAATTTTCTGCAGTTTGAAAAGGACATAGCCAAGTGTAACTTTGCTTTATTTTGTTTGGTTTGGTTTGGTCATTATTGCCTCAAATATTGCTTATGTTCCTTTCTCTTTTTCTTCTCCCTCTGGCTTTCCATTAACAATGATATGCCTTCTGCAATTGTCTCACAGTTTTAGATATTTCATTCTCTTTTCTTTCCAGTGTTTTTTCTTTATGCTTTCCAGTTTTGGAAATTTCTATTGTCATATTCATAAAGCTCAGATTTTTTTCCTCAGTTGTGTCCAGTCTAGTGATGAGTCCATCAAAGGCAATCTTTATTTCTGTTATAGTGCTTTTGATCTCTAGCATTTTTAATTCTTTCTTAGAAGTTCTATCTTTCTGCTTACATTATTCATTTGTTCTTATACATTGTCTAATTTTTCTATTACCATGCTTAGCATATTAATCAGATTTTTTAAATTATTGATCTGATCATTCCAACGTTCTGGCAATATCTGACTTTGGTTCTGATTCTTCTGATGCTGATTCTATCTCTTTAAATTATTTTCTGGTTGCTGTTGTTTTGTTTTGGGTTTTGTTTTGTTTTGCCTTTGAGTATGCCCTGTAATTTTTTGTTGAAAAGTGGACGTGATCAGTGATCACTGGGTAAAAGAAACTGCAGTAAACTGGCCTTTAGTAATATGGTGGTGAATTGTGGGAGGAGGGGAAGTATTCTGTAATCCTATGATTAGGTCTCAGTCTTAGTAGGCCCATGCCCATACACCGCAAACTTAACCAATGCTTTTCAGTGCCCACTCCCATCCCCCCCCACACACAACCCTAACCCTAACTTTTAGGTGGAACAAGGTAACTGGAGGGATCTGGAGTTGGGTATTTGTGTTCTTACATGAGGAGAGCTAGAGGAAGATACAGCTGGAGTTAGTATTTTTTCCAGGGTGGGTTAGGCTCTGATATAACCCCAGCAGTTGAGGCTCTCATAAAATAGTTTCTACTGAGGGCAGGCCTTATAAAGAAGCACAGAATGCTCGGGTGTATTTCAAAATGGTTTCTATTCCCCTACCCCTGCTGGAAGCACAAGGAAATTTTTCTCAAATATTCACTGTGAGGACCTGGTAGAGCTCCAGAAGGTAAAACTCACAAAATATGGGTCTCCCAATGACTGGATCTCCTGGAGTTTTTAACTCAGAATTGTCCACAATGAACCTCCAGCAATTTGTCAGCTACAATTAAGGTTTTCCTACTCCAGAACTGGTGCTGGGGAGGTTTCTCTTTCTGGGTTTCTAAGTTGTGATTCTCTGTATCTACCTGTCTTTTTAACTTTTAAAGCCGTAGTTTGCCCTATGACCTCACTTTTCTGATATATCTAAAAAGATTTGTTGATTTTTTAGTTTGTTCAGCTTTCTACTTGTGGTTAAGATAGAATAGTAACTTCTAAGCTATAGCTATTTATTTTTCTTACCTAATATACCTTTTTTTAATCAACTCAGCCACTGTTTCCTAGGTAAAGTCATAAACAGTTTTGTTTGGTTTTTAAAGGAAAAGTGACGCACAAAAATAAAGATGAAAACCACTTTCAATTCCTTAGATGATATTTTATTTTCATGAACATATTTTCTTGTTGTGAATTTATATCACATAAATAATAATGGCATTAACTGGCATTCTTCGTGTGTTTTTGATCTTTTTCCAAAAGCAACTGCCAACATAACTTCCTAACAAACATCACTTAACCACTAAATGACTCTATTTCATATATAATGATAGCTTATTTAGATATTGCTCTTCATTCTATTTTATTCTCTATTCTGTTGCCATTAACAATAATGAGATTTCCACACTTTCTCTGAAAAAAACATAATAGATTCATTGAGCAATTGTTTCCCTATTGAATCTTATTGTAGAAAATGGAACATGCCTTCAGAATCATGTTTAATGACTCTAGCTTACCCAAAACCCTCAAGCTTAGGATTCACATCTGATTTGAGCTGTATTTATGACCTTCATCATACTGTACTGTAATTGACTGTTCACTTGTCTGTCTCCAGACTAGACTTAGAGATCCTCATATATCTAAGGACAAAGGCCGTGTATTATTCATCTCTGTATCCTCTATGCCTGGCACATAATTGGCACTCAGGAAATATTTGTTGAACTGGGGTGTATCTCACTTTACCCTTGGCTTACCCTTTGCCAAATAGGCCATCACTCACTCATTGAACACTCATTTGTTGCAATAATGCTCTCTTCTGTTAAAATTAAAGACAAATTTTTCAAGTACAACTATTTCTGTGTAACTTTTTCAAAGAAAGATTTTTGTTGTATATCATTTATTCAATAACAAAATTTTTGTTTGAGCACATCCCTTGTGCCAGCCACAATGCTAGGCACCGGGACAATAGTGATAAACAAGATAGATGAGGTCTTTACTCTTATAGTGAAAGAGACAGACTTCAAAGTCTTATTTAATCACAACAGCATGTGTTTCATCATAGCACAATCATGTTTCAAAATTGCCTTTCCTTGTCTATCTACTCCTGGAGTGCTGTGTCCTTGAGGACAAGAACCCTGTTCACCTGGTTTGCTGAGTCTCACCTCTGTCAGCTAGCATCTATCAGTGTCTGACCCATAGTAAAAGCCCAGCAAACATTAAATGAATGAACTAAAGAATGGGTGACCAAATGAATACAGAAGGTCAATGTTACTATGTAGTAAGGTTAATAAGTATCTTCACACATTATACTGAACGGGTCTTTTTGGATTTATAAACAACAGATACAACTTAAAGAACTCTAGCCTATGGCATCTAAGCACACCCCATGCCCACAAAATTATTCTCCCTCCCATCAGAAGGAGCAGCTTTGTTTTTATTTTATTATAGAGATGTGAAGTGCAATTGAGGATTAACTACAGTAGGCTGCATGAAGGTGAGGTTTGGACTTTCAAGTGACCCTCACTCCTCCTGGTAATGGAACAGTTACCTTTTATGTTGTCACGTGCCCCTACTCTCCTCTATCCCTCCCTGCCCTGGCAGTGCCCAGTGACTGCTGAGTCCTCTCTTGTGCTAATGTGACTAATATTCAGGGTTCACTTATGAGTGACAATATGTGGTATTCAGTTCTTTGTTTCTGTGATAGCTTGCTTACTATGAAGGTCTCCAATTCCATCCAATTTGCTGTGAAGTTCATAATTTAGTTTTTCTTTATGGTTGCATACTACTCCATCATGTATATGTACATTTTCTTTATCTGATCCACTTTTGGTGGGCAGTAGAATTGACTCCATGTTTTTTCTATTGTGAGTAATACAATAAATACACAAGCGCAGGTGTCTTTTTTGTAAAATGATTTATGTCCCTTCAGGTATATTTCCAGGAGAAGGATTGCTAGATCATAGGGAAGGTCAATTTTTAGTTCTTTTAGGAATTGCCATGCTGCTTTCCATAGAGGATGAACTAGTTTTGAAAAGAAGTTTAAAAAGACTTGCAAGAAACAATAATATTATATAGCATTTATTGAGCATGGACAAAAGTGTGCCAAGAGGTTTACATGGATTAGCACATTAAGTATTTATAACATCTCTCTGATGTAGTATAATAATCACCCCAATTTTTTTTCTTTACAGCTTGATTGAACAATAATTAACAAATAAAAGTTGTACCTACTCAAAGTGTACAAAGCGATTTGATATAGGTATACTCCGTGCAATGTTTTCCACAATTAAATTAACACATCCTTCATCACTCATAGTTATTATTGTGTGTGTGTATGTGTTAAGAACACTGATGATCTGCTCTTTTACCAAATTTCAAATAAGCAATGCAGTATTATTAATTATATCAGCTGTACTGTACATCAGATGCCCTGAATCCTCAGTTTCTTCATGTTTAATATGGTGTGAATAATATGTATACAGGAATATTATTGTAAGCATGAAGAAAGTGAAGCTCAAGTAACTTAAGCGATTTGTTTATGATCATACAAGTAGTAAATGGTGTAACTAGAAATTGAACTCATGTCTGTCTGTCTCTAATGTAAAACCTTAGGACTTCATGATAGATGCCTAATATAATAGACCAATGGTTCTCAGTGTGGGGAAAGGAAATCAGAACCTGAAGAGGGTCACAAGAAGTGTGAAAAATATATTCACCTAGTTAAAGATGCTTGTTGACATATTTAACTCCTGTCCCTCCCAAGTGCTCCCAAAATCACAGTAAGAAATATAAAAGGCATAAGCCTATAAGGACCAAAAAGATTAGAAGAAGAGATATAAGTGGGTGAAAGACTAACAATTTTTGGAGGTGGAACAGAGAGGGAAAAAGCTACAACTTTAAATACATGCAGAACATAAGTCAGCTGCCTTGCTTGGTAAGACCTCTGAGAGGCAGGGGTGAAGTGCAGAAATGAAAATAGGACTTTGGTTGAATATCTGTATATGGACTAAATACTTTCTGAGGTTCCTATT